CAGGTTTTCTCGCGTTCTGTGAAATTTAACGAGTGATGCATGTGGCGATACAGAGCGCCGTCAATAATCGTAAATTCAGGATACCGATCGGGATTTTCGCGAGTTGCTCTGAGTAAATTCCGGTACCAATCACACTGCTCGTTCTCATGGATCGCGAATACTGTTTCGTCTGTTTCTTCGTTCGGGTTGTCATCTGGCAACGGATCTCGTGAGAGTGCGTCAGCGACTTTGTTTAATTTACCCTTGCGATATTTCACGGTAAACTCAAATTGTTGCAAATAAATGCTCCATCTGGCGACTCTTCCAGAAGGACTTTGAATGGATTGCAACCATTTCAACGAAACGTGGTCAGTCAGAACGGTAAAAGAATAACCCTCGAGATAATACCTTAACCATACGACCGCGAGGCACTCTTTTTCGGTGACCGAGTAATTCTTTTCCGCTTTGTTTAACGTACGACTCGCGTAGGCAATAACCATCTCTTTACCGTCGATTTCTTGTGTTAAGACGGCTCCGAATCCATCTTTACTCGCGTCTGTTTGGAGACAGAAAGGAACGGAAAAGTCGGGGACAGCAAGAACAGGAGCTGTAGCCAATTTTCCTTTTAATGTTTCAAACGCGGTATTTTGTTCGTCAGTCCATTTCCACTTGTTCTTCTTTTGGAGCAAGTTCGTTAGTGGTTTAGCTAACGTGGAGCAGTCGGGAATAAATCGGCGATACCATGAGGCGATTCCCATAAAACGACGAAGTTCTGTTACGTTTCCCGGTGTTTTAAACTGAACGATCGCTTTAATTTTTTCGGGATCGGTATGGATACCTTTACCATCAATTACGTGTCCAAGATACGTGACACGTGTTTTGAAAAATTCCGATTTTTCGGTATTAACTTTCAAGTTCGCTTGGCGTAGACGTTTGAGGACTTTGCGAACGTTTTTGAGGTGCTCGCTGACGGTATTTCCAAGGACAATTACGTCATCTAAATAAACGAAAGCTGTAACACCAAGTTCAGGACCGAGAACTTTTTCAACAGTTCTTTGAAAAGTCGCGGAAGCGGAGTGCAAACCAAACGGCATTACTTTATACTGATATAATCCACGGCCTGGGATCACAAAAGCTGTTACAGGGCGACTTTCTTCGGCTAATGGTATTGGGATCTGAAATCATAGGGAATTATGGGGAAACTGACCTCGTTGCGTCAGCCATCTTGATTTTTTATCTCTTTCTTCTACATATATTTTAAAAAGGATGAAACGAAAAATGGCTGACACAACGAGGTCGTCACCAGATGGCGTATCGCAGTATTTCAGATTCCAATATTCCAATACCCATTTCGGAGGTCAATTTTTGAGAAATATTTTGAATCTCGAAGTCGGTCCAACGTTGCGTTTATGTGGGGAATTGGGTATAGTTCGCGAATTGAGACTGTGTTTACCTTGCGAAAATCATTGCAAAAACGATACGTTTTATTTTTGCGTTTCGTCAGAACTATCGGGGAACACCATTCACCTTTCGATGGTTCAATGACGTCGGCTGCAATCATTTCGTCGGCTTGTTTTTGCATGATTTCTAGGCGTGTAATGTACGTTTACGGGTTCTGCGTTCGGTTTTAATCGTATGACGTGTTCACCTGCTGTTGTAGGTTTCGTTATATTTTCGAAAAGTTTCATTTCTTCGGAAATAACGTGTAGCGCGGCATTTATTTCGTCTTGATTTTCTACTTCCTCGACATGTGCAACTGAGGAAAAATCAAATGCGTAGTTCACGGCTGTCAATATATCGATTCCAAATAAGAGATCGACGTCTAATCGTGGTAATACTCGAAAATTTGCTTTAATCGTTTTTCCGTTGAAAGTCATTATTAAATCGACCGTTTCTCGAACTTTTGCTTGTCGACCATCTGCAAATTTGACTTTTAAATCCGCGGGATTCGTTTTAACTGAACCGTTATCTTTAATATATTGATAAACGTTTTCTGAAATGTACGATTTACTCGCACCAGTATCAAGTAGAGCGTGAAAAGTCATATCGACAAAACTAATTGATTCAAAGAATCTTTTGTCTCGCGAATTTACTACTCCGACGTTGTTATCGTCTTTCCGGCAGCGTGTATCACGTTTGCGGGCCGATTCGTTTGTGCCGGTTTCTTTACGTCGGTCCGTTTGTAGTTTTCCGGTTTCGTGCATTTACAATCGGTGTAAAAGATTCCCGTCGTACCACAATATGAGCAGAACTTTTTAGCCGGATTTTTACAATCGAAACGACTATGTCCGCGCTGACTACAGCGCCAACAGCATTCAAGTCTATTATATTTATTTTCAACTGCCGCAACATTTTCTTTGGTCTTTGTTTTCACGGACGCGGCGTTTTCGTTTTCGTTCGTGAGTAAGAATTGTGGAGGAGGTTTGTAATTTTTCTCGGTGTGTACGACTAATTCGAATTCGTTTGTCAGGCGAATTAAATCTGAGACCGCAGGGTCTTCGTATGTCAACATTTCTGTCACGATTTAAAGGGGGAATAACCGCAGGGTTATTTTCAGGTGGTAAATGATTCTGATGATCATTTCTGACTAAACTGTTTTCACGGCTAATACGCGGACTTCCGACACGGCTGTTTTGACGACTAGGATTTAAACTATGGTTATGGCTCAACTCTCCACTTTGCCTACCGTCAATTAAGTTTATTCGTTCTTCGGAAACTCGTAAAGTTGCGTGACTACCATTACTGACCGAGCCATTACGAGAATTATCGTACGCGTTATCGTGTCGTAATCCGTCGTTGATATTTCTCGGTGCACCATTTTCGTCCGCGTTTGGATTCGGAATATCGTTGTTATCTCTGTTCCTAACCGTATCGCGTAATAATTCACGAAGAATGTGGCGCGAAGCATTCGCAGGAACAGGTACGTTTCTGTTTCTTAGAGCGTTCTCCAAAGCGGGTTTCGTCATTCTATGAATCTGTGTTCTCGTAAGGTTCTCGATACCGCCGGCCATTTTGAAATTTAGTAATTTTACGTCGAGGTTTTGATTATTACAGTCAAAGTTTTAATTCGCGTAACGTATTTGGTGTGATCTTGTAAAAGAATACCGTTTATTCTTTCATGTCCCTGTTCGGGCGCCAAAATCTGTGATGAATGTTACGAGGATTAGCTCGCCGGGTAGGGTTCGGAAAATAAATTTTTAACATTCAGTTTAATCAAAAAATATATATTTAAAAATGCGTTAATTATTTTTACGGGAGACGACAAAAATTATTATTATAAATATAATTATGGCGACGAAACATGACGAAATTTCTGGTACACGTGAAGAATTGAACACAACTGAAATACAAATTATAGTACAAAATATTACGTCATAAAACATTTCGAAAATTATAAAATTAAAATACAAAAATTATACACGCAGTATTTCTCGTTAATATACTGCTCGACATCGTTTGACCGTTCTCAATTATTTTATGGTACTGTAGTTTCGTGGGGACGAAAATGGCTTGAGCATGAAGTACCACCTCTTTTACTCAGGCGGTGCTACCGCTTGCGATTTTATCGCTTACGTGGTATCACCACTTTGAGTTCCTACTCACGGTACTACCGTTCTTGAGAGGTCTTTACTGCAGTGCAACTGCTTTCGAAGTGCTTGACTTAGACCGTTCCGTCTAGGGTCTAACATCGGTAGCGCGTGGGGGAATACGGCGCGGTGGGGGTCGGTGAGGTCCGGAAACACTCGAGCGCTTCCATCGGCTTTCGCGAGAGACCAGCAAAATCACAATTTTCATTTTTAATTTTTACTTACGTTACATATTATTAATTAATATTTTTACTTCTAAAGACAAACAACCACAAATTGATCCAAACTTTAGGTTTTTAAACAAAACTGCTTGAAATTCGTAGAATTAAAAAATTTTAAATATATTTTAATGCTAAAAAACACAACTTTATTCCAAACCAGAAAGAAACTTAATTCGTGAAAAAATTATTTAAAAAAATTTAAAGGACTTTGGATTTGAAACACATTTGTTAAATTAAAAAAAAATCAAAACTGCACTAACATAAACATTTTATATTTTGGATCCATGGTTGCTGCAAAAATTATATTTAAAAATTCCATGACTTTTCCATATTTTCCAGGACCAGTTTCAAAAAAATTGCAGGTTATTTTACATAAAATTTTTTTTTATAAATGTCAAAAATTATTTTATTAGTAAATGTACAATAAATAATTATACTTATATATATTAATAAAATCAGAATTTTGTCTGTACATTGCCCGAAACTTAGAAATTTTAATATACCATATTTTTTCATTTTTAGACATAAAAATCTGAATTTCATAAAAAATGTGTCTGTCTGTCTGTCTGTCGTCATGTCAATGCGTGCAAATTTTCTTCCCGCATCACACAAAGACGGCTTAACCAAATCAAGTGTAATAAGGCTTTTCTATTAAAAAAACGTCTAATTTAAAATCGTTAATTTATAGAATTCAAAAATGTTAAGTTGAATCCAAGATATGGCCCAAAAACTAATTTTTTTAAAGGTTAACAAATCAAAAACTTAATAATTATAGTCATCAGAGAAGAGAAATTATTGATTGCAAAGTCACAAAATGATAAAACCAATAAACTGAATATCAAAAAATTAAGAAATTGTAATAGATTAAAATTAAATTTGATACATAAAGGTGTTTTGAATAATTCTAATTTAAATTCTTTATCAAAGAAATATTAAAATGGCAAATTTAAAATGAAGAACTTGAAAAAATTAAAAAAATTTTAACTATCAAAAAATGAAAATGTCAATATATATATATATAAAACCTTTTGTCTGTAAATTACTTTAAATTTAAAATTTTTTTCAAAATTCATCATTTTCAATTTAAAAAATACCCAAAAATGACTTAAAAAAAATTTGTGTCTGTATGTAGGGTAGACCGCAGCTAAAAGGTCCATGAGTAAAAAGGTTCACTACCAATATCTCAAAAATTGTTTACGCCGTATACTAAGTATTAGGCCCTATCAGCAGATAGAAGTATAAGGGAAGAAAAAAATAACACACTTGTATCAACCGCACAAACACTTTTATATGGAAAAGTAAAAATGTGTCGCGATACTTCCACTTTTTGCTTTTCTTTTGGGTCTAAAACATTATAATTACAAATGTTGGTCATTTGTGTCACAATTGTTTTATTCCTTTCGCCTATAATTTCTTTTTCATCGATTTCTTGACGACCTTTGGGCCACTCAGATTCTGGTTGATAAAGCCACAATGGGCCCAGCCACCATTGTGAGTCCACGAGCTGGGAGGGGGTACAACCACGAGATGGTAAATCCGCAGGGTTCATTTCCCCGGGTACAAATTTCCAATTTTTTGGCTCACTAAGCGATCTTATCTCTTTCACCCGATTACGTACAAATACTCCCCACTCTATGTCTCGGTGTATCCACGCGAGTGCTGTCGATGAATCCGACCAGTATGTGCTATCCAAAATTTCTCGCGATAATGATTGAATCACTGTTTGCGCAAGACGAACACCTATGGTCGCAGCCATCAACTCGAGGCGGGGAATAGTTGCCCCTTTTGGTGTTACTCTAGACTTCGCGTTTAATAGAGTGACTTGAACGGAATCCCCCCACTCTACTCTTGCAAATACAACCGCTGCATAGGCTACGCCACTGGCATCCCCAAATGTATGTAACGTCACATTTCCTATACTAATCGCTCGCGGAATTTCGATATTTTTTATCAATTTAATCTCCTTTGACCATTGCAAAAAATCATCTTTTGTCTTCCCTTCTAAATTCACGTCCCAATCTATTTTTTCCTCCCACAAATTTCGGAGTATCATTTTTGGTTTCAATGAAACTGGACATGTCACTCCTATCGGATCGAAAATCTTGTGTGCAGCTGCAAGAATCGTACGTTTCGTTATGGATTGACCAATCTCAGAATCAAATATACTCGGGTTAATTGAGATTGTGTCTCTTTTTTTATTCCATAACATCCCTAACACCAATGTAGACTCATTTTCGCACTTATCATTCGTGCTTTCCCACCCTCGAAGGTCAAACCCTCCGGACGCAAAAATTGCTGTGGATTCTTACTTGAATGTTTGTAATTCTGCTTCAGAGTCTACACTAGTAGTACAATTATCCACATAAAATGCTTCACACAAGTTTTTCACTGTTTTCTCGGTCCACTGAACTTGCGAATTTATTGCTTTTTTCTGAGCCGAACTCAAAAGCAATTTTATTATAGCGGCCAAAACGAACGGACTACATGACAGCCCAAATACTAATCTGCAATGACGAAATACTAAAGTCTTGTTTTCTCGAATCCAAAGAAATCTAAGATAATCTCTATCTGCTTCATTAACACTTATTTGCAAAAAAGCTTTTCGTATGTCTGCTATTACCCCAATGGCCCTTTCTCTAAACCGATTCAACGAGTCTGGCACGAGTTCGATTAAATTTGGTCCCTGTTCTAAGCATTGATTTAAGGATGGACAACTTTCTCGCTTGGTTGACGCGTCAAACACTGGTCGAATCTTAGTCGTACTCTGCAATTTGACCACCGGACGATGCGGTAAATAGTGAACCTCTTTTTGCGTTTTTTCATATGTGACGTTCCATGAGGAAAGGGACCTTAGCTGCAATAGACGCATTTTCCAGAAAAGATATTTAAAGTAGAGCGTCCCTGATTGGTTGAGACCCTCCATCGAAAATCAGCCCCACCACCTTACTACTACATCGTTCCTACAGCTCACGCTTACGACAAGTATACTAGTGTAGAAGTGGTGGGGATGGTTTCTGTAGTCCGTGCTGGAACGCGATTAACATGGTCATGATTAATGCTTTATAACAAAAAAACTAAATAGAAAAGTACAATTTTTAACTTTTGTATCTGAAAGAGCAACTCAAGATCTATCGACTGATATCAAAAACTCAATTTTCATTTTTTTGCAGCTAAGGTCCCTTTCCTCATGGAACGTCACATATATTACTTCCTCAATGATTCCTTCGTTTATCCATTCTTTGAAAACAGCGTCATAATCACTATAAAGATTTTTAGTTTTTAATTTTTCAATTGTTTTTATTAATCTTTTATATGAAATGTCATAATTATCTGGGATAGGTGCATGCTCTTCTACCCACGGCAAAGAAATTTCGTATCGATTTTCCCCGGTCAATTTTGCATTATCTATTACAAATTTTAACGTTTGTTCATCTTTTATACTTTTGTTTACTTTTTCAATTGGATCTTTGATCCCTATAACATCTAAGCGCCACAAATCGCATGGATCCGCCTCTTTAACAAACATGACATTAATAAGCATCGCGGCATCCATCTCTTTCGTAACATTAGGCAATTTACCCATTACGGTCCAACCTAACAAGGTTTCGAGAGCTACTAACCCATTCTCTAATTCGTATCTTTTTCCTGTAAGCAATTTCCCCGCTATATCTGCACCGACGAGAATATCTATACAACCTCTATCGCTCGAACCAACATCCGACAAGACGATACCCTTTGTATACAATTCCTCAACCCAAACATCATGATTAATACTTGGAACCGTATCACAAATAATACCCTGACTTATCGCCAAAAAATTACAAACATATTGGTTGTCGAGACTTCTCACTCGAATCTTATACACGCTGTGTGTTTCACACTTGGATTTCGCCCCACCGAATAAAGAATGAGTCATTTTCATTTCCCCTTCTGACACGTAGTCCATCTCTCTCGCAAGATCATCACGAACATATGATCGTTGAGAACCGGTGTCTATAAGAACTCTTACAATTTTCTCTCGATTCTTCGAAAACAATTTCACGCGCAATGTTTGTAAACAAATTTTAAACGAAGAATTACTAAAACTTGCCAAATTATTTTCAACTATTAATTTCTCATTACTACTCGAATCAATCTTTCTCCGTTCTAAACCGTTGCCTTGACCAATACCCGGACACATCAACAATACATGTTTACCCGCACACCAATCACATTTCAATCGAACTCTACACAATTTAGAAATATGCCCGCGCTTTAGACATTTAAAACAGCATCTTTCTTTTTTAACGACTGCAGAACGCTCTGCTGAATCAAGTTTCCGCGCTTCTTCACAATCGCGACTCTCGTGATTTGATTTACAAAAAATACAAATTGAAACTTTATCATCTTTAGATGCGAAAAGTACGCTAGCAGTAGCGACATCTTTAAAATCAATCTTACCTTTACTCCGTTTACGTTTGTCCTGTTCCGCTGATAGGCCGAATCCGGTCAATGCCATGTCAATTCGTTCTTCGTTTTCTACCTCCATCTGCAGGAAATTCAGGAGTTTGGTGAGACGATCTTTCGGTTCTTGTTGTCCATTGATGTCAGTTATCTCTCGAACTCCACTTCATGCCACGCACGTAAGATTTCTTCTGGGTGAGACGACTCTACCAGAGGGTAAAGCATTGCCGCGCACTTGTCTGTCGTCACGCCCAACGTACCCAGTGCTCGAATATATGACTCAACTTTATCATACAGAGCAGCCACTGATGTTTTCTTATTATTTTTGACAGCATTCTGGAGAACAAGTCCTAACAGCTCGCGCACATAAAATTCCACCACTAAATCATCTCGTCCGAAACGACTCTTCAGACAAGTGATAACTTTATCGTAATTTTCTGCGATTGGTGGAAAACTATTCACTAGTTCATTAGCACGAGAATCAGGGACGGTTGCCTGTATCAAGTATTGAAACTTATCCTCCTTTCTCACAGTCGGATCGTCATGGATTTTTCGAAACTGGCTCCAAAATGGCAGCCACTCACGCACATTCCCCTTGAATTTTGGAAGCTCGATGCTCGGTAATTTCATCACCTCTCTGACGCTGGCTGATGAATGGGCAACAGCTGGTTGAATCACGGCTGGAACTGAAAGATCAAACATTTTGACTTTTGATGTCAAAAACTTAGTTTTGTAGGAATTATTTCCTTCCAGCTCCAAATTAACTTCTTCCTCAGTCGCCGTAGATTTAAATAATTCTTTATTGAACCGGTCATGTACTGCATCCAATTCCGTCATTTTCGACTCCAAAAATTGAAAGGCCACCAGCTTTTCTTCTTTTGAGCAATTGTTATCTGTTTTTGCTATAAAAGCTGTGTATGCTCTTGAGAATGCGGCACGCCACGCTTTTCTTTCTCTCTTGATGGCGTCCATTTTTACCACGTGGTGATAAATTCACTTGACCACAAAATCCACTATCACTGCCTCTCCAACTCACAAAAAAGGTCCTGTCACGGTCGCCAGATTTTGGGACCAGGAATAGGTATATAAAATATAAATAAATGGACACAAACTAATAAGAAAAGTCACTCCACTTTATTATAATTAAAATGTTCTAAACGATTAATTTCAGTTTAAGACAACACGTCTTACCGTCTCGACATCTTATTCTTATCTAATCTCTCAGCCTTTTTCATCGGCTTCTCTCTTTTCGTTTAAGTTCGACAATTTTCGGAAGAATTACGCGGCAAAAATTCGCTACTCTAATGAGTCATTTATTTCTCTCTCACATCGTCACAACAATAACAAAATTTAAAAAATTTGAAGTCATTTTTTGAATAAAAGAATATTTTTCTAAACTCAAATTAATTTAAAAAAATTTTCTGGAACAATCTAAATATTATCAAATTTAATCAATTATCAAAAATACAGAATTTTTTGATTTGCTTTTTTTTGGTAAAATTTGACAAGATATCATTAAAGGAATTTATTTTCAAATTGAATGTTATTTAATTTTATAATTCAATTTTATTTTTCAAGAATTCAAGTTTCATTATGTTTTAGAAAATAAGTACAAAAAACACAATTTTTCATATATTTTATATATAATATTTTTTATTCATCAAAAACTACAATGACAAATAAATGTATGAAAATCTGAAATTTTTGTATCATTTTTATTTTACTTTAAAAAACCAAGTAAATTGAAAACAATTTAAAAGAAATACTAAAATTCTTGAAATTCCTACAAATTTCAGGTTGTATTTTCAAATTTTATGACACTTCCAGATATTCCAGATTCTCCCAGGTTCTGTATAGAAACCCTACAATATAAACAAGTTTAAAGTAAGTGAAAATAATAAAATACTGAATCATTACAGGAAATAAAAATAAAATAACACGATACTTACAAATTAGATGTATTATTTAAAAAATATTCACAAAAAAATTTTTAAATTCCAGATCAAAGAGTGTTTTTTCTTTTAACAACAACACACACATAACATAACCTCAATATTTGTAACTGTATAGGACCAAAGCACAAAAAAAGACTCAAAACTTATTTTTTAAATGAGAAAAGAGAAATAAATAGAAATTTTCTTGACATATATTTTCTCTCTCATGTAAAAATATTTCAAGTTTAACGTCCTTATATAAATAATTTATTGTCGATGAGTGTGCTCAGGCTCAACACACGACCCGACGGCAATTTCTTTTCAACAGTAGTGTAAGAAAATTCTACTAACTATCAGGGAGGCGCCACTTCCTTGAGCACTGACACATGCAAACACACAAAATAAATACAGGGATGTGAATGTCAATTAAAAAACTTCCTTTCGGCCAAGTAGAACTTCTGCTGTTTTCATTTTCGGAAAAGTTAAAATTCGTGAACATAAAAATTATGACAAATGACATTTAGGTTTATTTTCAATTTTGTAAACTAAAAATTCGGCAAAATTAAAATTATGCTAACTGATATTTCTCTTTCTTTAAAATTATGTCCAATCGAAATTAGGTTGAACAAAAAGTCTGTCAAGTTAAATTTCTGTTATTTTTATTTTCGGAAAACTTAAAATTCGAAAACATAAAAATTATGACAAATGATATTTCGATTTTTCTCCAATTCTTTAAATTAAAAATTCGGCAAAATTAAAATTATGCTAACTGATATTTCTCTTTTCTTAAAATTCTGTCCAATCGCAATTAGGTTGAACAGAAAGTCTGTCAAGTTAAATTTCTGTTATTTTTATTTTCGGTAATTTTAAGATTCGAGAACATAAAAATTATGACAAATGACATTTCGGTTTATTTTCAATTTTGTAAACTAAAAATTCGGCAAAATTGAAATTATGTTAACTGATATTTCCGTTATCTTATAATTCTGTCCAATCGCAATTAGGTTGAACAGAAAGTCTGTCAAGTTAAATTTCTGTTATTTTTATTTTCGGAAAACTCAAAATTCGAGAACATAAAAATTATGACAAATGACATTTATGTTTATTTTTAATTATGTAAACTAAAAATTCTGCAAAATTGAAATTATGTTAACTGATATTTCCGTTATCTTAAAATTCTGTCCAATCACAATTAGGTTGAACAGAAAGTCTGTCAAGTGAAACTTCTGCTCTTTTCATTTTCTGTAATTTTAATATTCGAGAACATAAAAATTATAACCAATGGTATTTCGATTATTTTTTTATTGTGTAAACTGAAAATTTGGAACTATAAAAATTCGGTTTTTTAAAAATTATGAAATATTTAAATTCGGTTTATTAACACTTTTGTAATTTTAAATTATGTTAATTAAAAATTCGGTTATTTAAAAATTGAGGAAAAAGTAGGCGTCTCCTCTCATTTACCCTTTTTGAACTTCACAGAAACTAACATCTGCACGAATCATCCTTGTTGCACCAAGTAAACACAAATTGTTCAAAATCACGTTTTCAAAAAAAAAAATGTTTCTTTCTCTTATCGAGGACGATAAAAACACTAAGGGGGGAGGACTGTTACATCCCGACTATTTAAAAATAGTTTTTTTTACGTATGTATGCATATATATACACATAATATACATAATAATTAGACTTATGGATAACTATTATTATAATGTAATTAATATATAGTATTTAAAATTAATTATCTCATAAAAGAAAAGTATATAGATATGTATATGGTGTGTGTATGTATGTGTATGTGTGTGTATACATCTTTTAAAGAAATTATCTACATGCGTTGTTTAATATTATCGACCATAATTAGCATTGCTCTTCTTCACTGCAGTCGATGCGTTATCAACCCGTATGATAATTGATAAACTTAGAATTAATTATGAGGCGTCGATATTGAAGAATATCACATTCTCAGTAAAGTAAATTATATACAAATAATTAAATAGTAGCTTAACGTTTGCGCAATAACTAATGGAAAGATTTAAATAATAATGGACAAACATATTTTTCGTACCTTTCTGAGAAGGCACATATTCATAATATAGTAAATATATAAGAAAGTATGTCATGAGATGATAAACATTGATCGAAGATAAAAATTCCAATAATAATTAAAACAGGTAATTGCTTTAACTAAAAAACAAATTGAATAACCTTTTGATCTTACAATTTTTATCATAATTAAATTAGATCATTTCATTGTTTAAAAAAGTATATAAACCACTGTTAATAGGCTCATAGTTGTCATATTACTCCGGTGAGTTTCTGCCCGAACAGTATCGTTGAGTCGGCCCTTCAATCGTGAAATTGTACTTTTAAATCAGCGTTAATAGAAAAAGTCTTGTTTCTTACAATTTATATAAGATCGAAGGTAATTTTCATTGAGTTTTGTAAGTTCATTTATTTCGATTGTCGTATAATATTATTTTATAAAAGTTACTTCCGATTATTAAAGAAACAAGTTTCTTTTTGTATTAAGGTACAGTGTCGAGAAATAACTCTTAAATAATATTAAATAGTCGTTGGTGCATTAGTGCTAAATAACGAACTTTTATTGTCATCCTGCGATACAATTGTGTAAAGCCGGTTGTATTCATTGTAACAATCCAGAATCAACTTTAACATTGTAAGTAAAATTATATTTTAAAACATTATTGTCAAATAAATTGTTCATTTTAAAAGGGAATATGCATAATATTATTTACAAAGGACCCTTGTTCTTATAAAGTGACACGAATCCACATAAAAATAAATATCAAGATTTACCAACTTGATAAATCAGCACTTTACCTCCCTTTTTTTGTTAAGGGGGGAACACCAGTTGTAACTCAAGAAATAATGCTTTTTACAAGAATATTTTCCAAAAGAACAATGAATCTTTTTAAAGAATACTATTTATTAGTTAAAAGTACATGTTAAAAGCTGTAATTTAAAAGAAAAAAAATTTTTTTTAACAAAAACTTTTAGAGATATGAGCCATTGAAGTGGCGCCTTAAAAAAAAGGCGAATTGCGGTGACCAGCATTCTGCAAGTATACTTCGTCTGAAATACAAAAATGATATTGATTTACATTTATTATAAGATTATCTAGTTCGTG